GATAATTACAACTGTTGACGACCCTTTGTGGCCTAGCGCTAGCATAAAAAATAGAATTTTCAAAATTTAAGCAAAATTAGATGTTCCTTTCCTTTTTAAATCGAGCTACAATTCTTAGGCTGGAGGTCCTTAAAAAACCCACAACTTTGACTCAGATAGACCCTAAAAAATATATATTTTCAATAATCTTCATGGTTTTTCAAAAAACAAACCTATGGCGGAAATGCAGAGTGAGATGAAAAAATTGCAACCAACTTCAGACTGCTGTCATTTCTAAGCCACTCGCCCGACAGCTGTTAAAATTAGTCCAGTGGCATCTCATTATATTATTTATAATCGTACAAAAGCCTTTTGGTGAGAAATTTCCAGAAAAAAAGTCATTCGTGATAGAATTCAAGCGGGATAGTGTTATTTCTTTATATTTGGCTAGAAAGCCACAAATGGCTATCGTTAGAACACTCCAGCATTTAAATGTAAATACATCTTTTGTGTCTCGTACCATCGCTCGTTACCGATTACGTGATACTGGTAGCGTAGCCCGACGTCAAGGAAGTGGTGGACGGAAGAAAACAGCAACATTAGCAGAAATGGTTGGAAAAGTAAAGAGGCGACTTGATCGAAACCCGCGTTGCAGTGGCTGAAAAATGGCTCGTGAGCTGAACATATCGCAATATTCCATTCGGCAAATGTTGAGAAATGAGTTCGGGGTAAAGCCATTGAAATTCCAAAAAGTGCACGAACTTACACCGCAACAGAAAGAAAATAGACTCAAAAGTTCTAAAGAGTAGTTGCTTCGCTTGGCCGAAAATGGTGAACTGCCGAATTTGGTTTTCTCCGTCTCCGATGAGAAAACATTCGTTGTCCAACAGTTTGTAAACAAAGAAAATTATCGTGTTTACTTGCCAAAGAGGTCAGCTGAAAATGTGCACCTTCGGTTGGCCACCAGAACTCAAACGACGGACATGGTGATGGTGTGAAGGCCGCCATAACAGCCGATGGTCGATCTCCGCTCGACCGTTAATCGACCGTGGCATCAGAATAAATGCCAAATATTATCGCGAAAATATTCAGGAGGGTGTATTAAAGCCTTGGGCACGCAAACATTTTGGCCGCAGACCTTGGACATTCCAATAGGACTTAGCACCATCGCACTCAGCACGCGCCACCCAAGAATGGTTACAAAATGACGTTCCTCGCTTCATTTCCAGCACACAATGGTCACAAAAATCTCCGGATACCAATCCGTTGGACTATTGTGCCGGGAGTATTTTGGAAAGCACTAAAAAATACCAAAGTGTCGATCACCTCAAGCAAGCGCTTCGCCGGAAGAGGGACAAAATAAAGCAGAGCAACATTCGGGCAGTGTGTGACCGTGTTTCATTGGCCGTTTGAAGGCCATAATTCGTGCCAAAGGTCACCAATTCGAACAAATCTAAACTTATTCTAAAATTTGATGTTATTTCCGAAATTTTTTGCTATCATTCAATAAAATTAAAAAAAAATAAAAATAACGGCGTTTGACTTTGTTATAGTTCTTTTATCTCACCCTGTGTAGAACCTTTTCAAATTTGTTGTAATTTTCTTGAAATTTTACTGTGAAACATTCTATCTTCGGTGTGGGAAAATCCAAGTGGATATGCTCCTATAAGCGAGTTCCTTGTGGCCCCTTGGCTGATATTGTTTGCCGTTATTGAAAAGTAAAATTCATCAAAAAAAAAATTAAATTGTTCTTTCCATGAGTCGAAAATGCAAATTAAAAAATGTTTATAGCTGCATACTTTTGGGCTCACATAAACATGAGAATCGAACAAAGATCTATAGTTCGAAAAGTCGAGTTTCCCTATAACAAAAACGTTCCACTTTTCAGGAAATTTCCAAGGATTTTCTTCCTGAATGTGTTGACAGTATCGAAAATGAAACCTGTTTGATTTTTTTCGGATTCTAATTGAAGTTTTCAATCGATTATGCAGTTATGGACATAATGAGCTTTTTATAAATATATCTAAAAAGACTAGATCTTTATGAAAATTTAAATATTCTTTTCGTGCGAAAAAATTTATTTCTTTTTGTTATCTCAGTTGAAAATGACAGTAATTTTCATTTTTTAATTACCAGTCCCCTTCAGTCCATGTCTTAATATTTACAAAATAACAAAGCAAATTGTAAAGATAAAATGTGATATTCTTGACATTGCTAATTGTAAATCGTTCGTAGAACTTTAAGGCATTTGCAAAGTTTACACATTTAATCAATGTAAATATGGTGGGGAAGGGGGCGGGCGGTCCAAAAAGATAATTGTGTAACAAAAGATGAAGATGCAAAAAGAAAAAAAAAAAAAAACAACATTTTATTGCTAATGTATGCTGAGTAAATAGTCTTTTCAGTTTTTATGAAGACCTCCATTACAATACCGAAGATGGATAAGAAAAAAAAAAGACAGTCTAGTTTGAGATAAGAAAACATTTGTCGGCTAGGCTACACATACATATAGACCATACAAATAATAACAACAATAACAACGGGGCAGTAAAGTAACGTCAACTTTGGTTGTCAACTGTGACAGTCAGAAAGCCAAGAGAGATGATGGTGGTGAAGAGGGGGAGATGAATGCTGGGGATCAGGGAGGAGGAGGAGGAGAAGGAGGAGCTGACAAGCCAACCATCACCAGTGGTACCATCCACCAACCCATCATCAGCATCAGCATCCCCCCATCTCAGCCATCCCCACTCATAAACCATCAGCTATAAAAATCTCAATTGGCGCGACAATGTGGAGCCAAAACGGCCATTTTGTTTCCTGTGAAATTCAGCAAATATTTCTTCTTCGTTCAATGTGTTAGTGAGAGAGAGAGTGTGTGTGTGTGTGTGCGCGTTGGATTTAACAACTTTTCATTTTGTGGATACATACGTATATACTCATATATCCTTTTGGAGATACCCCTAACTTAAAAACAAGGATATGTATGGGTGGGTTTGTGTGTGTGTGTATCCTCTCAAATCTCTGTTACATCTCCAATTTTTTTTTTTGCTGAACCAACATCCAAACACAGATAAATTTTGTTACACATCTAGACATAAATATATTTGTGCAAAAATAATGTTCGCTTTCTCCCCTAGTTTTTTTTTTTTTGGTGGTTACTGTTGTCGTTGGGCGCCATTTTGGAGCCTGATTTTATGTGAGTTTGAGAAAAAGTTATGGTTGACAAATGTATGTGGATATGTCGATGTTCGTTGGTTTTGGGTAAATAAACCCACATATATAAATGTTACATATGTAAATGAGTATGTATTTATGTACTTTAGAGCATCGGACAAAGTATCAAATGGGGAAAAAGGTTGCGTTATATAAATATGAAAATGTCCATCCTTATAAAAAAATCTCTGTGTTTGTGGGGTAAAGGACAGTCCAACATTGCTTTGGTAATGGCTACGAAAATATCAGTTCTAGAAAATCAAGAGAAAAGTTTATAATCTAAATTCAAGTTCAGCTTTTAGATTCGTTCCAACAGTTTGTGTTAAGCCTTTTTATAACCTCAGCCATATGGCTATAGAGAATATACATCATTTAATACGGCCAAAACAGTCTCTTTGCACCAAATCCGTTTCAGGACATTTAGAGTCGATCTGTCCGTCCGTCCAGAAGAAATGGTTCGCTCAGTATTATTATTTTTATAACAGATCTTGTGTTAATGGAAATATTGAAATGTGCCAAGTCTGAATGGAATCGGATGTTAATTTCGCGTTTTATGAGCTTCATGGATATTTCAAACTTTTGAACCTTTTGGGGGAGGTATCAGAAGGAATGGACCGATATATTCCATCTTCACAGCAGATCTTGTGTTAGTAGAAATAATAGAATGTGTGAAATTTGAAAATAACCGGATGCTTATTTAGGATTTTATAATCGTTTCGATTATTCAAAAATGTAACCCTTTGTGGGGGAGGTAACAGGGGAAATGGTCCGATCTCTACCATCTTTATAACAGACCTTGTGTTGATGGAAATATTGAGATGTACCAAATTTAAATGGAATGGCATGCTAATTTCGAGTTTTATGAGCTTCATGGATATTCAAAATTTTGACCCGTTGTGGGGTAGGTACCAGAAGGAGTGGATCGATATATTCCATCTTCACACAAGACCGTGGGTTAATAAAAATATTGTGATGTGTGTAATTTGAAAGCAATCGGATTCTTGCGTAACATTTTATAAGAGTTATGATTATTCAAAATTTTGATCCTTTGTAGTATCAGAGGGAGTGAACCGATACAGTAAATTTTCGTACCTTACTTAGCACTGATACAAATATCAGGATTTGGAAAATTGGAGCATAATCGGATTTTCCTTTCTTTTTCTGTGCAGTAAAATATAATTGTTTTTTTTTTTGCGACCTTCATGTGTGAGATTCCAGAAGGGGTGGGCCGATATTGCCCATCTCCGAACTCGATCTAAGTTTGATAATAATATAACAATGTACCAAGTTTGAACGAAATCGGATACTCCCTTCGAGAGTTATCGTGCGCACCAACTAGACAGATGAACGTACATCGCTAGATCGACTCCAAATTTCCAGAAACGGATTTGGTCCAAAGAGACCTAGGATCTAAAACTATTTTTTTTTTTTTTTTTTTTTTTTTTTTTTGATGAGACACGTTTTGGCCATATCAAATGATAGCCATATGGATGAGGGTATAAATATCCTTTGCTAAATTTTATCGATATCGTTTTAGATTTAGATATAGCTTCCATGTATATCTTCCTCCGATTTGACGGTTATTGTGCACAAAATATATATTATCAGCCCATATTGGAAGGTCTTTTGCATACACAACTGAATTTAACCTGGATGAAAATACGACATTTGGTGAAACTCGTTTCCCAAATATAATAGGATGTCATAAAGTCGGTCCGCACGACTTTTGATCTTTCTTTACGGGCTCTTATTTGTGGACATTTTTTTATTAAAAAAAAATAATTAAAAATTCCAGTTTAAACACTTACCACACAATTCGTTTTGTTGTTGTTGTTGTTGATGTTGTAGAAAAAATTTGAAGAATCCTTAAAATTAAACCAAAAAGTGAAAAAAGACGGCAATTTTTCCAAAATGCTTAGAGCATTTGTCGTTCGTTATGGGGTTGTTGTAGAAAACAGCTCTTCTTTGCGTTTTGTGTTTGTCTGACTGTAAATATCTGCAAAATAAAGAGAAAGAAAAAAAATTATTAATAAAAAAATAATTTAAAAAAAATATAATGGAAACTTTCTTCTTTGTCACATAATATTGAAATGATTTGAAAACAATATCTCAAGACCACAAGAATTCTAACCGCAAATAAATACAAAAAATTAGTTCAAACTATCACCCACTCGCTGAGGTTCATTTGCACTCAATTTCCAAGGCAGATTTCTCTGAGACGGAGAAATGGGGGAAAAAATAGTACAACCACAAAGTGAAAGAAAAGAAGAGCAATTTCTTTGCATTTCAATATTGTGGCAGTTAGTTTTAAAAAAAGTGTCAGAAGGCAATCTTGACTTTTCCACAAAACGGAATGTCAGTCGTCTAATGTCCAACTGTCACATTAAATGGCATAAAATGACAGGCAAACAATTGGAGGTGTTACAAATATAAACGACGAATTTAATATGTCCTCCCTATGAAGGTGCCGCCCTCTATGGTGGAGGGTGCCAAATTTTAAAGCTCTATATAAAAAAAAAATAGTCAATGCTCTTTACTTCGTCAGCAAAAGGTCCACATTAAAATTTTTCCTACACGAACGGAAGCAAAAATTTTAGTGTGGAGCATTGGCTATTTTTTTTATAGAGAGCTTTAAAATTTGTGCACCCTTTTAGTACTCAAAATGTACAATTTTTCAGTTTTGGCAAAATCTTGTAATCAGAACGTTATACATCGTACTAAATTTTCAGACTTTCAAGGTTTTAAAATTTTTTTAAGTTTTTCCTTTTTCGGAAATATTGATAGAAACATGTTTATGCTTTCCACCAAAGAGTCTTCAAATGGACCCATATTCAATGTTTCCAAAAATCCAAAATTATCTCAACGTCCCCATATGTAAAGCCTAGAAACCAATTTCAGCTCTATCCCATGAACCTATCCCATGAACCACCAAAAAACGCTGTAAGTTCGGCCGGGCCCAACTTTGAATACCCTCCACATTTGGAACGAATTTGTCAATTTTCCAAAAAAAAAAAAAAAAATAAAATCCATTGAAAATGCTGTTAAAATCTTAAAAATATCGAATGCAGCCATTACATTAAGGCCTATACGACGACGTGGACCTGCAAAGACACTTTTCTGTCTTCGGCTGTAGTATCCATTACGAACTTCAAATACTAAATTTGAAACAATTCCGGTGACTCATGTCGCTAAACTCTTCAAAATATTGAATATCGGGAGGTGCCGTTATATGAGGGCTATACGAAGACGTGGACCTGCACAGACAATTTTCTAAAATAGGCTGTAGTATACATTACGAACGTCAAATACGACATGTCAAAAAAATTCGGTGGGTATTGTACCTACCGAATATAGGGAGGTACTGATAGATGGGGCCTATACGAAGACCTGTACCTGCATGGACAATTTTCTGTCACAGACTGTAGTTTCCATTACGAACTCTAAATACGTAATTTGAAACAATTCCGTTAAATAATGACGCTAAAATCATCAAAATACCGAATTTTGGGACGTACCGTTGTATGGGGGCTATACGAAGACGTGGACCTGCACAGACAATTTTTTGTCATAGGCTGTAGCATCCATTACGAACTTCAAATACTAAATTTGAAGCAATTCCGGTGAATAATGTCGGCAAAATCATCAAAATACCGAATATCGAGAGGTACCGTTATATGGGGGGCTATACAAAGACGTGGACCTGCACAGACAATTTTCTAAAATAGGCTGTAGTATCCATTACGAACTTCAAATATCAAATTTGAAACAATTCCGGCGAATAATGTCGGTAAAATCATCAAAATACCGAATATCGGTAGGCGGAGGCTATACGAAGACGTGAACCTGCACAGACAATTTTGCGCCATAGGCTGTAGTATCAATTACGAACTTCAAATACCAAATTTGAAATTATTTCCGGTAAATAATGTCGCTAAAATCATCAAAATAATGAAAATAGGGAGGTACAATTATAGGGGTGCTATACGAAGACGTGGACCTGCACAGACAATTTTCTGTCATAAATTTGAAAAAGTTCCGGTAAATTATGCCGCTTAAATCATCAAAGTATCGAAAATCGGGAGTTACCGTTATATGGGGGCTATACGAAGACCTGGACCTGCATGGGCAATTTTCTGTCGCAGACTGTAGTTCCCATTATAAACTTCAAATACCACATTTGAAACAATTCCGGTGAATAATATCGCTAAAATCGTCAAAATACCGAATATCGGTAGGTACCGTTGTATGGAGGCTATATGAAAACCTGGACCTACATGGCCCATTTACGAACCTAACCTGTCTACTGGCAAAAAAAACATGTGTGCAAAATTTTAGCCTTTTATCTCAATTCGTTCGAAAGATAGCGTGATTACAACAAACAGACGGACAGACAGACAGACACCCAGACAGACAGACGGACATGGCTAAATCTTCTTAGAATTTTACAAACGGAATGACAAAATTAATATACCCTCCATAGTATGGTGGAGGGTATAAATCAAATTACATTTCTCCATCCTAGACACCAACGGTGACCAAAAATTAGTTCCGTTTTGAACTTTTCGAACAATAATGGTACACATTTCCAAAACCATTTACATATCTCAAATACTGACACCAACAGTGACATCTATAACAAATTTGAGAATTCCAGGTCTATTCCTTTACCCAATATCAAATTTAGTAGTCCTCGTGCAAATATAGTACACATTTCCAAAACCACCTCCAATACAAATTTTCAGAATTTCAGTTCTATTTCAGCTTCACCCAATACCAAAATGTAGTACAATTTCGTACAATTATTGTACACATTTTCAAAAAAAAAAAAAAAAAAAAAAAAACAAAAAAAAAACCTGCCAATCTCAATTCCAGAGACCTCCATATCAAATTCGAGCATCCCTATACCATATTTTTGAGGAATCAAATATTATCTATTTTCTGTAGTCATGTGGCCGATTTGTATGAAGTTACGACAACCAAAAATTGTTTGGAAATCCCATTATTTGGTAATGAGTTTTTGCTGGGAAATATTATCGTGTTTTCCGCAAGTTTTATTTGGTCCACTATTTATAACCTCAGCCATATGGCTAGAGAGGATATATATCATTTGGTATGACCCAGAACGTGCCTCATCGAAATAACGGTTTTAGATCCTAGGTCTCTTTGGACCAAATCCGTTTCAGGATATTTGGTGTAGATCTAGCGATGTCCGTCCGTCTGTCTGACTGTCAGGCTGGCTGCTGCGCACCGCAACTCTCGAAGTGAGTATCCGATTTGGTCCAAACTCGGTACATCGTAATATTATTATTAAACATAGATCCAGTTGGGAGATGGGCAATATCGGTACATTTCTTCTGGTACACCACAAAAGGTCGAACTTTTCAGAAAAAAAATATATTTTACCGAAACAGAAAGTAAAAGTATAATCCGATTTTACTCCAACTTTGCAAATCCTAATATTTGCATCAGAGCCATGTCAGGTGCAGAAATATACAATATCGGTCCACCCCATCAAATACCTCCCCCACAAAGGGTGAACATTTTAAATAATTATATCTTATATAAAATCTGAAGAGTCCGATTGTCTTGAAATTTCACACATCACCATTATTTTATCAGCCCAAGGTCTGTTGTGAAGATGGAATATATCTGTCCACTCCTCCTTCCGGTAAAAATTTTGAATATCCCTGGAGCTCATAAAACACGATATTAACATCTGATTCCATTCAGACTTTGTACATCTCAATATTTGCATCAATATAAGATCTGTTATAAAAATGGTAGAAATCGGACCATTTATTCTGGTAACCTCCTCCACAACGGATCAAGGTTTTGAATAATATAAACGATTATAAAATCCGAAATAAGCATCCGGTTCTCTTAATATTTCACACATCCCATTATTTTCGCAAACACAATATCTGCCATGAAGATGGCAAATATCTGTCCACTTCCTCTGGAGTCTCCCCCACAAACGGTTAAAAATGTTGAATATCCATGAAGCCCATTAAACGCGAAAATAACACTCGATTCCATTCAGATTTGACACATCTCAATATTTCTATCAGTACAACATTTGTTATAAAGATGGTAGAGATCGGACCATTCCTTCTGGAACCTCCTCAACAACGGGTCAAGGTTTTGAATAATAAAAACGATTATAAAATCCGAAATAAGTATCCGGCGTTCCTCATATTTCACACATCCCATTATTTTTGCAAACACAAGATCTACTGTGAAGATGGAATATATCGGTCCACTAAGTCCGGTACCTTCCCCACAAAGGGTCAAAATTTTGAATATTCTTGATTACCATAAAACGCGAAATTGACATTGGAATTCATTCAGACTTGGTACATCTCAATATTTCCATCTACACAATATCTGATATAAAGATGGTAGGGATCGGACCATTCCTATGGTAGGGATCGGACCATTCCTTCTCGTAACTCCCTCACAAAGAGAATAACCAAACCGATTATAAAATCCGAAATAAGCATCCGGCTCTCTTAATATAGCACACATCCCTTTATTTTTGCAAACACAAGATCTTCTCTGAAGATGGGATATATCGGTCCACTAAGTCCGGTACCTTCCCCACAAAGGGTCAAAATTTTGAATATTTATGTTTTATTATATAACGCGGAATTAACATCCGATTCCATTCAGACTTGATACATCTCAATATTTTCATCAACAGAAGATTTGTTATAAAAATGGTAAAGATCGGACCATTTCTTCTGGTACCTCTCCCACATAGGGTTCAATATTTTGAAAAACAAAACGCTCAAAAAAAGCCAAACAAGCATCCAACTCTCTTCAAATTTCGTACATACAAATATTTTTGCTACACATGATTTGCGAACCTCTTCTGGTACCTCACCCACAAAGGGTCACAATTTTCAACATTTTTATCTGTCATCACTTGCGAAACAACTCAGCAATTCTTTACAATTTTCTAAGCTATTTCTAAGTATTTCTCTCAACCAGAAGTCT